TCTCTACATTATATATATGTGATATCTGAGAAATTTGTTAACACCTAACAATATAGTTTTCATGATTTATTTTTCTTCTAAATTAATATATGGAGCTGGAACCAATTATGTATTCATACTTTGTATTCCTTCCCTTAAAGAGGACTCTGCAAATTCAATTCAGATTCAGGTTCCAGAAGTCCTGGATCTGAGATATATGGTACTATTACCCCTGTTTTAATTGAAGTTTAGAGAAGTCATGTGACTTTACAAAGTTCACTGTTATTAAAAGGTGCAGCAGCCTTTCAAACCTGACTTTCCTTCCCTAACACATTAGTAATGATGGTTAATTTCATGTGYCAACCATGGTGTAAATTGTCTRGTCAAATGGCAGCCTAGATGTTGYTTTGAAGATATTTTTAGATGAGATTAACATATCAGTCATTTGAACAAAGCAGATTGCCTTCCCTACTCTTAAGAGGGGCTTAAGAGAAACCACCGAAGTCCCACGAGGAAGAAAGAATTTTGCCTCCAAACTGCCTTTGGACCCAAGATGGCAAAATTGACTCTTCCTGACTTCTGTTCACCAGATGCCAGTAGTATTACCCAGTTGTGACAACCAGAACAGTCTTCAAGACACTTCCAAATATCCCCTGATGAGAGAAAGGAAAGGGGCAAAATAGCCTGCCTACCTGCTATGTGAGTGCCACTATGTTAGATTAGCTCTAAGCAATAATATATGCATATGTGATAGTATGTTGAGATGATCAACATTGAGGTAATTTGGACATTTCAGGAGAAGGCTGTTGATCACTTCGTAGGTTGAGTTAAGAGATAGTAGCCTAGGGTTGGGGTTGTGCCTCAGTGGCAGAACGCTTGCCTTGCACACATGAGGCACTGGGTTCCATCCTCAGCATCACATAAAAATAAATAAACAAATATATTGTGACCATGTATAACTAAAAAAATATTTTTTAAAAACAGGTGGTAGGGCTGGGGTTGTGGATCAGCAGTAGTTAGAGTGCTCACCTAGCACGGGCAGGACCCAGGTTCGATCCTCAGCACCACATAAAAATAAAATGCATTGTGTTGTGTCCATCTACACCAAAAAATAAATATTAAAAAAGTCATTGTTTATTGAAAAAAACAGGTGGTAGCCTAATATTCTGTAATTCTTATAAATAAATTTTTCTTCAGTTCTTATAAGAAAGAAGTAAAAAAAAAAATAGAGAAAGGCCAGAAAGATTGATAACTTCAAGCTCTCGGCAAGTGAGAGCTGAGGCAAATTGAGGGCAATCACAGGAATAGGAGAATAGACTTTTTTAAATTGAGAGGGACAGAATTTAGCTCTTACTCCAACAGAAATGAACCTTATCTAGAAAATGACTTTCAATTCATAAATCACCAACAACCGGGCTGGGACTGTGGCTCAGTGGTAGAGTGCTCCCCTAGCACGGGTGAGACCCAGGTTCGATTCTCAGCACCACATAAAAATAAAGGCATTGTGTTGTGTCCATCTACAACAAAAAATATTCTTTCTCTCTCTCTAAAAATAAATAAATAAGTCACCAACAAGGACCTGAGCTTAGTCCTGGGACATGGACACAGTCTACCATACGAACCATGGTGGGGACCATTAGGCTTCTGGATGCACAGGAATTTGTAGAGATTTGCATGATTTTTCAGTACCTCTTGCCTTGCTAATACCAATACTAGGAAAGTCATTTTCCCAGGGAATATTTTTTTGGTGACAGGACAGAGTGGGAGTATGGTTTGTCTGAATAAATGTATCACGCTTATGTTCCTGTGGGTTCAATGAYCCAAGGAAGAAAAAATACAGTAGTAGTCCAGTAGGTGGTGCTGTGTCTGCCTAATTCATCAAGCACTTAAAAATTAAGGTTGTATGTGACCATGTCTTTCCCAGTAGCATATTTTCTTCAGTCCTTTGGATATAAGTTGAATTTAGCTATACTTTAAGTTAAAGATATCTGCCAAATTAAACAGAATTTGCATTTATGTTAATCTCCACTTCTGATTCAAAACATGCATTCCTAATCAAGGTAACCTAGCAGTCAGTACAAAGCAAGGCTCAGGCCCAGAGGCACAAGAACATATTGTGTTCAAAGCAAAAGGTTTTTCCTTTGTTTCAATTTTAATAAATGCCATAGTCAGGAGGCTTAATAACTGGCAGGCACAAGCAAAACTGATATAAAAATCTTTTAATATTCATTTCTTCAATACCCTGCTGGCTGATAAAGTCAGATATGTGTTTTGTTACTATCCTTGGTAGTCTAAGATATTAAAAAAAGACAGAGCTTAGGATATTAAAATGACTTATGGAATTCAGAAATATAATAATGTGCTCCAAAAGATAGCTTCATGAGTTGGAGTTCTAGTTTCATAGCATTCAGAAAGGTCACATTTCTGAATATTACCCTGAATATATTCAGGATATCTGGCTTGTCTCATGTCAAAATGAGAAGTTCTAGGGCACATTTACGAAATTATTTCATAATTGGAAAGTTATGAGGTTCACAATCTACTGAAATTTATAATCCCATGGGGAGAAAAAGGATCCAGATATCCTTATCTTTTATAACTTGTGAAGTCAGTCTCCAGTATGTGTGAGCCAACAGGAAGAATCTCACTGCAGTTATTGTAAGTAGTATTTTTTTTTTTTAAGGAAGAGAGACTCCTGTTGGCTCTCAATGGAGCTGGCCTTACTTGTATAACAAAACAGATGAAGGACCCTTGAGGAGGATGGTAGTGACAGCAATGGGTAGATGGTGGAGGAAGTTGCTGCACTACATATATAACTCCATGTCCCACTTAAAACCTGGTCAGAAGAAATGAAGACAAATAAAATAGTGTTGATGGTGACTCCAGTTAGTCAGAAAACAGACAAAATAGAAGTCAAAGAGAAGTAAAGAAAGTAGGGGGAGGGCTGGGGCTGGGGCTCAGTGGTAGAGCCCTTGCCTACATGCATGAGGCACTGGT